GAGCCCGATGCGGGGCTCGATCCCAGGACCCTGGGATCATGACCTGAGCCGAAGGCAGACGCTTAACCGACTGAGCCACCCAGGCGCCCCTAGATCACTATTCTGTGACACAGTTTACACTGCTGTGGGTGGCATGGGGCGGGGGGGAGTCTACATAACATAAAATTTTAAATGCATTTTTAAATGCATAGTTCAGTGGCATTAAGTACATCCCATGTTCGTGCAATCACCACCACCATCCATCTCCAGAACTTGTTTCATTTTCCCAAACTGAAGCTCCTTATCATTAAGCGTCAAGTCTCCATCCCCCTCCCCCCAGCCCTCCCATTCCCCCACCAACCATCACTCCACACCATTCTGTCTCCATGAATTTGACAACTCTAAGCATCACCTGTAAGTGGAACCACACAGGATTTGTCCCTTTGGTGACTGGCTTATTTTACTCAGAATAATGTCCTGGAGGTTCATCCACGTGGTAGCAGGTGTCCAAATTTCCTTCCTTTTTGTATATTAAGGAAATACTATATATATTAATATATATGTATTTTATATATTTCCTTCCATTGTATATATGCCACATTTTGTCTGTCCACTCACCCGCTGACGGACCCTTGGGTTGCTCTCACCTCGGGGCTGCTGAGTAATGCAGCTGTGTGGTGTAGCACTGCGATCTTGCTGTCTGACGTGCTTTCATTGGTTGTTAAGCCGGGCATATAAAGCTCACGTTGTCATTTAACTTCTTGTGAAGGCGGTGTAGGGGCTCCCCTCTTTGGACACTTTACGTCTGGCAATACTGCGATCCTCAGGCCTCCTGCAGCCCCTCTCTGTTTGTGAGATGCCTGGAATACCTCGCCTTCTTCAGCTTTCGCCCACCAGCTCCTACTCACTGATTAGCCTCAGTGCGGCCGTCACCCCTTCTGGAAACCATCTCAGCCCACTCCATAGCTGGCCGTGCCATCCCTTGCAGGGACGCTGTGAAAGGGCCACAGCACGGTGGCCTGGAGCTCAGCACCCGCCCACCCCCCAGGCTGGGAGGCTCAAGGGCAGGGCTGTGTCCTAACCACCTTTCTGTCCCGGTGCCAAGTCCGGCCACCACACACCATACAGTAACAGCCAAAGAAATGTTGGCCAGACCGAGAGATGGACAGACATGGAGCATGAGAGAAGTAGAAAATAAATACACTGGGTGTTAATTGTGTGGAATGAATCCTGGGGTCAGGAGGTCACCATCTAGAGATGCCAGTTTTACTTTTCTCTTCTATAAAATGGCAGTTTGGATGCTAATATTTAGTGAACGCCTACTATGTGTCAGACAAAACACACCAATGAAGTAATTATTCCTGTTAATGCTATTATGCAAGTAAGGAAACTGAGGCAGAAAGCAGCAAGTCCCTCTAAGTCCACAGAGCTACAAATAACAGAGCCAAGATTCACACCCCAGGGGTCTGGCTGCAGGAACCATGCTCTTAAGAGCAAAAGTAACCCAGGGGCACCTGCGTGGTGCAGTCAGTTGAGCATCCGACTTGTGGTTTCAGCTCAGGTCCTGATCTCTGTGCTGTCGATCCTGATCTCAGGGCTGTGGGATGGAGCCCCATGTTGGGTTCTGCACTCAGGAGGGAGTCAGCTTGTGACTCTCTCTCCCTCTCTTTAAAAAATAAATAAATCTTTAAAAAAAAAAATAGCAAAAGTAACCCGAGACTGCATAACCTCTAAGGCTCCTTCTCTGCTATAGTTCTAGGATTATGAAATGCTAATGATTCAAAAGGATATTCTGAGGTGTCCAGGAGTAGAGGTGACAGATAACATTAAAAATTCATGGTGTTCATTTAAATTGACATATTATATTGAATTTTGCCCTGTGTAAGGATTATAAAGAGGGCTTGGAAAGTTCGTGATCCTTTTAAAAAGACACTGATGTGTGCTCTACAGAGAGCAGTGAACACTGCTGTGTTTCTTTTCAGAACGAGCGCGACCCCATTCATGTCTTGGGGAAAACACCAGCCCACTTCCTTGTTACTCTGCCCCAGAGGACTTGAAACCAGCCTAGTGAATTTCCCCTCTCACTGCGTGGCAGATCCAAGCCTTGGAGGGAGCGGGGTTCCTTCATTACTGCAGACCCGCCTCCAGCCTGGATGTGAGCATGCGTCACCATCTCACCAGACAGCAGAGGCAGTGCCGTATCAACTGTGCAGATCGACTCTCGGATGAAGGCAGAAATTAAATCAGGGGCCCGTGTCCGGGCGTGTGGCCTTGAGCTTGCCCTCTTGGCTTAGTTCCGACCAGTGAAACCAGGCTTCCTCCCTGGAATACCTGGGACGGTTCTGAGCATCTGGTGAGCACTCCCACATTTCTGTTATTCTCCAAACCAGAAATGAATACAACCACATGAAATGGAGCAAAAACAAGGTCATAGCAACTAACAAGAAATTCAAGGGCCTCCAAACTAGCTGATCCAGAAATACCTAGACTGGAACCCACGCCGGTGAAGGAGCCACGCTCACATTTCATCCCTGTGGATTTCACTCTTCTAGAACAGGAGGCCAGGTCAGGGGGCAGGCATCACGCCCCTCCTCACCATATCCTCCCACCAGCATCCCCTCCTCCAGCAGCCTCTTCCCTCATCTCCCAGGATGTTTCCATCATACAGAAGTGGAAAGGGGGAGATTTTCTTTTCCCCAAAGGCCAGAAATCCCTGGAGAATTCACATGTTCAAAAAAAAAAAAATTACTGTCTGGTGGGTGCACAGATCCCAGCAAAATGTAAAATTCATAATACCATGACCACACTCCAGGGCTCAGAGTCCAGGAGATCTACTATGGGCAAAACAATAAATCCTACTAGAGCCTGATGGAACCTCGGGAGCCAGAGGTTTTCCGGGTGATCCCCGGCAGCCCCCCACACCTCTCCATCATTCTGTTATCTCCTCCTGACCACCATAAAGAGCCATTATGGAGAATCACTAATAGCAAGGAGTACTCCATAAAAAAAAGTAAATTAGCACAAACTACCACCAAGAAAAAGCCCACAGCCAGCAACTTCCTTCCCCGGGGTTGCTGCCTCACACAGGAAGCAGGGAGCCTGATGAGGCCTAGGAAAACCACACCTTTGTATTACACTTGCCACCCTGGCTGCAAAAATGCTCGTCAAGCCATCCTTAGCGGACTTGCCACGGGCTTCCCCTTCCTGCGCTCGCAGGCCGCCCAGACAGTCCGCCATCCTTCCCCGCTCAGTGCCCTTGGAATGGCACCGCCCGCTTTATGAGCTGCCTTGGCCTCCAATAAAGGTTCGAGCCTAACAATGTCTGAAACCTGAGACCGGCTGTCTACCGCATTACCAGCTTGCGGGCTTCCTCCCGGGCTCCTGCAGAGTGAGCACACGCATGCGCGCACGTGCACTGCCCAGCAGGGTGGAAAGCCTTCTTAGAAATTCCAGAAAGAGTTACCGGAGCAAATTTAGGGGGAAAGGACGAGAGGAGAAACAAAGGCTCTGACATCTGGGAACACGATCAAGGAAAACACGCGGAGGGTGTGCAGTGCTGAGTTGGGCGTGCCCGGCGGCAAGGTGTGCAGTCAGCCTCCGCCGGGGTTGGTGCAGAGAACCGAGTGCAAGAATGTGGAGGGTCAAGTACACTCCCGCTGCTCTGTGCCTGCCCTCAACCGTGCGGGCACCACTGTCCTCATCCCGCTCAAGGTCAGATGAAGCTCTGCTTTAGTATCTATAGGGCTCCCTGAGTGGTGTTCAGACGACAATGCACATACCAAGTGTTACAGCTGAAATAAGAGGGGGACATCTCATAGGAAGCGGACGGGCTAAAGACAAGCTGGGTTAGTTGTCGGGGAAGAAAAACAAAATGGATAATGAATGAACGGACCTTGTCCACCCCCCAGCCGGCCACCTGCCACCTCCTCTGACTGCGGGCCACCCTTCAAAACGACGGGACTGTTAGGCCCAGGTCGTGGGCTCGGGGGATGTAAATATTGGTCTAAACAACTGAGGCCTTGTCTAAACATTCATAGGAGCAGAGGGAAAAGGGGGGACCAAAGGGGGGAGAAAGGTTTTAGAAAAAAATCTAGATGTAGAGGTTTTTTAAAAAGATTTTACTTATTTACTTGAGAGAGAGCGCACAAGCAGGGGGAGGGGCAGATGGAAAAGCAGACTCCCTGAAGAGCAAGGAGCCTGAATCAGGACTCCATCCCAGAACCCAGGGATCATGACGTGAGGTGATATCAGATGCTTAACCAACTGAGCCACCCAGGCGCCCCCAGATGTAGTTTTTTTTTTTAAAGAAAGATGAATGAAATGTCTGGAGTTTTGGTGTGCCTGGACTGCTACCCAGGATGAACTCCCCCCAAATTATTTCTAAATCCAAATCAGGGGCACCCGGGTGGCTCAGTCAGTTAAGCATCTACCTTCAGCTCAGGTCATGATCTCAGGGTCCTGGGATGGAGTCCTGCATCAGGCTCCCTGCTCAGTGGGGAGTCTGCTTCTCCATCTGCCTCTCCCTCTGCTTATGCTCTCTCTCTCTCTCAAATAAACAAATAAACATCTTTAAAATAAATAAATCCTAATCAGTATGACAGATTTTTTTTCATGTAAAACTAACTATAAGCCGAGGACAGTGGTGGCCGCGGAGGCCGTGGCAGCTCAGGACCTAGTGCAAGCAGCAAAATCACCCTGATTCTTCAGAGGCTCTTCAGGTTCTCCTCTCTCATTCGGTCTGCAGTCTCAGTTCATTTGAGGAGGAACACTGGTGTTACAGCAGTGGCATTTAATAAGGAACTTGATCCTGTACAGAAACTCTTCGTGGACAAGATTAGAGAATACAGAACTAAGCGACAGGCATCTGGAGGAGCCACTGATACTGGCCCAGAGTACCAGCAAGACCTAGAGAGGGAGCTTTTTAAGCTTAAGCAAATGTATGGTAAAGCAGACAAGAATATGTTCCCGGACTTCAAATCTGAAGATCCTAAATTTGAAGCCATCGAAAAACCCCAGTCCTGAAGAAAGAATGTAAAATGTATTTGGTAATTTGTCCTAGATTAGTTGTACAGCTGTATCAGAATAAACATACATTTCTCAGCTGTCAAATGCTCTTTTAATTCTGATTCCAAATAAATTATTTGGTGATGTTGGGTGTATAAAAAAAAAAAGCAAAACCTAACTATAAGCATCTCTATATCTAAGGCAATATTTTTTCTCATTCCTTAACCAAATTGCTCTTATAAAGTCAATTGTCTTTTTGTCTGCCCAAGTTTATTTCTGTGTACAAACACAGAAGACAATGACGTAAACAGCTTTATTAGGAAACAGGAAGAATCCCATCTACCCGTTTATGGTCCAGATTCCAAACGCAGGAACCTCAGGGATGACGGTGCTGCGAGCACCCCTGTGTGGATGGGCAAACCTGGGGGGCAGGCCTGGTTGGCCGGTGGTGGGAGTCCCACAAACGTGGCAACCCAAGGAACAGCTTCAGGCTCCCAGTTAGGCCAGAAATCCATCTAGGGCCTCGTCAAGCATATCCCTCCGGAATGTGGGAGCAAGGACTGGGCGCCATAGCCCGGGAGCTCCTCTCCGGCTTCTCAGAGACTTGCAGAGACCACCAACTCTGACCCTCTTGGTTTACAAAGGAGGGATGAAGCGCAAGCTGGCTTGCCGGGATCCCAGTGCTAATTAGTGCTGCAGACAAGACAGCAGCTCTGTCTCCTCATCTAAGGACAGTCCCTTCTCATCTAAACATCTGGGATCGTCGACAACCTACAATGCCTACCAACCCCCCACCCCTTTCTTTCCTGTTTCTGTCACCCCTCTCTCGTCCTTCCTCCTCCTCTTCCCCTTCATCTTATTCCTCCCCTTGCCATCCTTCTCCCTCTAGCCCTCAGCCCCATGGCCATGCCACCTGGCTAGGCAGAGATGTGATGCGCCCAGTCCCAGCTGGGGGCCTTCAGGGAAGACATTCAAGGCCACCTGGGCAGCCACCATGCTCAGGACCAGGACGTCCCTCCACAGAAAGGCACACAGCTGAACCAGGCAGCTGATCCTTTTTCTTAAGCAGTGTGGTTGTTAGCCGTTTGCCTGATTGGCTGTTTATTTTCTGTGCAACCAGCTGGTTAGATAGCTCCACAGCTTTGGGCTGTTCTTGGTTTCCTACTCAGTTAATAAGTCAGTCTCCCGTTGCCGCATGAAACCACCACGTAGATGGAGCAGGGCGTAAGAAAGCAGCAATTCTATCTCCAAAGAAAGCAACCGCGATAAATAAGATGGTAGTGTTTCATGGGGAAGTGTAGCTGCTCATCACTGCTAATTAAAAAATGGAATCACACCACGGAAAAATCTCAAGCTCTTTAAGTTCCCAGAAAAGAAAAAAAATTCTGAATTAACAATTATAAATCTCAGACATCACTCAGATTAGATAAAGAAGTATCGAAAGCTTATGTTCATCACCTCTGTGGTGGCAAAGGAGATTTAACTTATTATTTGCAGTTGACACTTTAAAAATAAAGACATTTTGGGGGGACTGAGTGGCTCACGTCATGATTCCAGGGTCCTGGGATGGAGCCAGACACGGGCTTGGGCTCGCATGAAAGGGCTCATGCTCAGCGGGGAATCTGCTCCTCCCTCCCCCTCTGCCCCTACCCCCCCTTGTGCACGCACTTTCTCTCTCAAATAAATAAAATCCTTAAAAAAATAAAAATAGACATTTTGTACATAAGAACTATCAAAGATTTTAAAACCATGCTGTGGGTGGAAAGCTAAACATTTTTCCAAGATCTTTTTGTGGTTGGCAACAATGTCCAACTCAAACTCCATTAAGCAGAAATGGTGAGTCAAAATAGCCCCTCAGCTGCAACATGGCCTATAACACTTAAGATATATTTAGATATAGTTCTGCTTATCAAAAGAATTCATGCTACCCCAGAGCCTTCTGATATGTTAACCCCCACAGCAGCACAGGAATATTGACCCTTTCTGGGTAAGAGTTTACAAGAAGGCTCTGAGAGCTGAAACGTGTGCAGGAAATACCGCTTGGTGGGGGAGGGGGTCTATATTTCCAGACTCCTCCACAAAGTCTGGTCAGAATCGATGCGATAGGATCAGCAAAGCATAACTGCAAAGAAAACTGTCTGCGAAAGATAAAACCGGATGGGAAAGCAGATAAGCCCAAATTCCTGGTGCTACCCAGATCCGCAGCATTGCCCGCCCTCACTGGGGGAGGCACGCTCTCTGTTCAGGAGTGCGAATGCCAAACGAGCAGTCTGCCAAGCTCCCTGGAGGGCCTCTGAGCCGGGCAGGGCTCAAAGAAGGGATTTCCATCTGTGACAGGGAATAGCACTCCATATTCATGGCTTCTCAACTAAAAGGAGTGGCTATTTTCGTCAACTGAGCTCTCCCAAATTTTCTGTGGAGTCACCCTACAAAGGAATAAATGAGCATTTTATCCGCTTGGAGGTGAAGACATGGAAAAGGAGATGAGCTCATTGGCTCTGACTGCGGTTTTTCCATTTTGCTGTCAGACCACTGACAAGAGGAAGGGAGGGACGGAGGAAGGAAGGTAGGTAGGAAGGTTGGTTTTATAAAATTTACCTTCCTAGAGAAAGTCACTGGAATAAACAGAAAGTGAAGGTTGACTGTCATCTCGCCCATTTCACAGACCCTCACAACAACCCCGCTGGGGTCCTATCACTTCTGCCACTGTAAGGAGGAGAATGACCGAGTTCAGAAAGGCTGTGCCCAAGGTCACATACTTAGTGACGTGACCTGATTTTGCACCCAAGTTTGTTGACCCCAGAACTTCCTTTTTAAGGTCATAAGAGCCTCAAAAGTGGATCTCTTAACCTCTTAGTGTCGTCAATGACTCAAATGCTACCTTGGATGTCCTCACCTCTCCACCCACTCCTGGACACACGGTCATTGCCCGCCTTTCTCCAGGCACCAGAAACTCTTCCAACAAAGATCCCCAGAGACCTCCGATTCATGGAATCAAGGGAAACCTCCGTGCTTACCTCCTGGATCTCTCTGAGGTATCTGACCTACACCTCCCTCTGAAGTTGCTCCTCTCTGCTTCCATGACACCACTTTCTCCGAGTTTCCTCCCCTTCTCTTGGCTTCTCCTTGACTTCTCTTCCTGACTCCTCAGGCTGCCTGTGCCTTCAATGTCCCTGGTCCCACAGCTCCATGCTCTGCTCACTGTCCACAGCCTCACTCTCTGGGAAGAGCTCACCCTCAGGGGATGCCACCACCCTCTCCATGCCAACATCCCCCAGACCCGCGTCTCCAGCTCTGAATCCCACTGGGACCCACCAGAACATTCCTCTTCAAGCTCTACAGGGCCCAGAACAGTTTTATGATCCACAACCATCCTCGTAAATTAGACCCACAAGAACAAAAGCCTTACCCCCTCCTGTACTCTCTGTCTCAATTAACGGCAGCAGCTCCTCACCCTTGTGGCCAGAAATCAGGGAGAGCCCTCATCTTCCTCCTTTCCCTCTGTCCCATATCCCCATGGGTTTTCTATGGACAACATCTGTCTGGTCCAAGCTGCCACCCCATTCCCACTGCACTGCCTTAGCTCAGGCCTGCACCCTCCATCACCCAGGCCATGGCAAGGGGCCTCCTCATGCGCTCCCCGACGCCGTTCTTGAGCCCATCTTCCCTCACTGTCAGAGCAACCTGTCATAGATGGATATCTGATCACCTCGTTCCCTTCCCGAATGCCCATCAACAGCTGCCCAAGGCCTACAGGGTCATACGAGACTCTCCAGCTGCAAGGCCACTCATCCTAACCCCTGCCATCTTCCCAGTGCATTACTCACCCATGCACCAGCTGTGTTACTATGCACCCCTGCAGCTCCCCAAAGGGTACACAGTGTGCATAACCTTCTTGTGCTTCATGTCTGCCATTCCCTCCAGCTGGATGTCGGTGCTGTCCTGTGCTCAGTGAGCCGAACTCCCATCCACCTGCCAAAGGAGCTCTAGCCTCCCCTCTGCTCCCTGGCAGCCCACCCAGCCTGTGGTCCAGAACTTCCTACACTGCTCTCAAACTCCGGCTCCTTGTCTGTCTCTAAACTAGACTGGGAGTTGCCCCAGGGCAGGATTTTCATCTTCTTTGTTCCCTGGTTACAATGTGGCAGAGCACTGCAGCTGACACGGGAGCAGGAATCAAAAATGCTTATGGGCATATGAATATGAAAGCAAAGACAGTAAATAAAATATTAACACATCCAATCCGCAGCATATTTTAAAAATACACTGTGACCAAGTGGAGTTTATCAGGGGAATGCAAGGATGGTTCATTCTTAGGAAATCAATAACAATTCACAATATTAATACATCTAAGGAGAAAAATCATATGATCATCTCCCTAAACACTGAAAACACATTTGGCAAAACGTAACACCCATTTTTGATTAAAAACACTAAATAAAATAGGAATTGATGGATACTTCCTTATTTTATAAAACTATATATACACCTCAGGACAAAAGCCCACATCTTACTTAATGGGAAAAACTATACACATATCAACTATCTCACTACCGTTTAACACTGTATCTGAGGCATGAATCAATATAACAGAGAAGACCCCTAAAGGAATAAAAACAGCAAAGGAAAGGAGTAATGATATCTCTACTTGTATAAGATAAATTCTTCTGAAAATCCAAGAGTGCCAATTTTAAAAACTAATGAATACATTAATAGAATTTAATAGGTTATAAAGTTAATATATAAATATCCTTCTTATATACAATTATCAATTAGAAGAGAAGATGAAAGTGAAGAGCTCATTTATAACAGCAATAAAAGATATAATACCTAAAAGTAAATTTAACAAGAAATGCACAAATTCTATAGGAGAAAAACCTTGAAAATTGCTGAAAAGTAGACTTGTTCAAATGGAATAACATTCCACGTTCTTGGGAAAGATTCAACATCATAAAGATGGCAAATGTCCCCCAGGTTAATATATAAATTTAACATGGTCCCAGTTAAAATAGTTATTTTCTGGAGTTAGGCAAGTTGATTCTAAAGTTCATATGGGAAAACAGGAAGAATAAC